GAAGCTATTGGTGTGGGAAATTCCAGCGTTTCGAGAATTTTAAAAACATTTGAAGAAAGTGGCTCATCGTATCCAGAAAATAAATTTGTGGCCGCAAACGCAAAACTACTCCAAGAACAGACAAATTGTTGATAAGAAATAGCAAAACTAATCCGAGAAAGACAAGCACTGATCTTCGAAGGGATTTAATGGTTTCTGATGTGGAGGTGAGCACCTCAACTGTGCGAAAACGACTGCTGGAGGTTGGTCGTAAGGCAAGAAGACCAATAAGAAAGCAACTGCTAACCCAGAAAATGACGAAGAAACGTTTGGCATTGGGCAAAAAGTTCCGTGCGTGGACTAGGGACGACTGGAAGAAGGTGGTTTTTAGTGATGAGACACATTTGTTTGTTCAAGTGTATAAATCAAGTGTTGTTAGACGAAGTGTTGGGGAAACTTTGAGGTCTGATCACATCTAGCAAAAAGGAAAACATCCTTCGAAACCTTCAAAACAAATGTTTTGGGTTTTTTCTCAACTACTGGCACTGGACGATTAGCTCCTATAACAGGGATGATGAATTCAATGAAATATCTGGAAATATTGCGCACCAGGATTGTCTCATTCATGGAAACGTTTGATGGAACATTTCAGCACGACCTGGCTCCCTGCCACAATTCCAAACAAGTGCAGGACTTTATGCGTGAGAATGAAATAAAAGTACCCGATTGGCCGGGGAATTCACCTGATCTCAATCCCATTCAGAATTTATGAAATAAAATGATTATAAGTGCAATTCAGGTGTGGTTTCATGATGACGAATTGAAGAAAATGCGCAACGCTAATGGAATCAATGCCGAGACGAGTTCAAGAAGTTATTTCAGCGAAAGGAGAACATACTTCATATTAATATGAAGAATTCAGGCTATTTTGTATGTATTTATTTCATTAAAAGGTAAGATTTTACGAAAACATTGTTTTTTATCCTTTGTCCCAATTAACTCGAACAGCATAGTACATAGTTCAATTTATATTAAAAAATCGTTAGAGGAAAAACTGATGTATTACATCTGTAATGTATACAATATTGTTTATTTCCACTTTGTAATGAGAAAATTCTGATCAAATTATCTGCTTTCTTCAGAAGTATATTTTGATAGAAATTCGTAACACTAAGTTAAGATTCTTTTTAATATTTCGTCGTCAACTACTAATACGAAAAATTACAATGCTATGCAGCAGCGAGCGGCAAACGGCTGCGATGTGCCGCAACCTACATAGCGGACTGAACTAGCAATCTACGTAATGAATGATCGAGGTTTAATTAATGAATCTGTCTCGCTAATCTCTTAGATTGAATAGTCGTGCAGACTGCAGTGGCCCACGAACGGCCCAGATTGATAATGTGATTAATTTTTATGCCGGGGATATTGAACGAAGTATATGGGAGTCTTTCGTTATTTAGTTGGATTGGTTTTAATGCTGCATAATCGTAAAACGTAGTGCTGGATAGAATTTATCGACGTTACTGAATCAGTTTGAGTTGGAATATCTTCCTGAGTATATGCAGACAAATCTTGATAATTTATTCACACTTTTCACCGTAATTTTTTGGTAGATTTATATCATAAAGAATCGCAGAAACCCCCAAAGAAATCAAAAACTAATTACTTCAACTATAAATACCTCCAAGCTTGTGAAGTCTTGGACTACAAGAAAAGCTGTAAACATAAAAAACTTTTAAGTTACTGAACTGCCCTGGAAAAAAAACGATATGAAAATTGAGTATTTTTTAATTTGGAATATATTTTGTGGAAAATAAAAATATCACATCAATAAATTCAATGGACGATGAATCAACTCTGTGATAGTTCATATTTAAATGAGAGGTAATAATAAATAATTGTAATAAAACAATATTTAATCCAGCATTTGATGAAGAAGTAGTACTTCGAAACGTCGTCATGTGTATTTTATATTAAATATGGGAAAATTTTAAATATTGTTTTATTATGGATATTAATTTTCTCCAAGTATCGGCCTCATCAATTATCAATAAATAGTTGTCTAAAAATCACTGACCGAACAATTCTTTATTCGACTAGTTTCGCCTTTTACGGCATTATCATTCTTGATAATATCGTAAAAGGGAAAACTAGTAGAATAAAGAATTGTTCAGTCAGTGATTTTTAGACAACTATTTATTATTACCTCTCATTTCAATAAAAACATTGTTTCAGAAATACAGTTTACAAGATGTAACAAACAAATTCATAAAAAAAATTATAAATTTGCTTAAATAAATAAAATTCTGGTGTCGTATTGTTATTGGCCATATTCCTACGAAACTGCTTAACCGATTTTGAAGAAATTCTATATATGTATATATACTCGGTAAATTTGAAAATCGAAAAAATACAAATTTTTTTGAGGTGGAAATTTTATTGAAAAATGCATACAAATCTGAATTTCCAACCTTATTTGGTTGAAAATTAACCCCCGTTTTTTAATATCGATATTAGTTTCTTAATAATTCTCAAACACGACCGATAACCTCATTAACAACATTTGTGATCAGTTCTTATCGTCTACCTGAATATTCTAGATACATAAAACGTGTTAGATACACTTTTCACCATTTATAACTTGAAATATAAACGGCTAGACCGATCTAGACGAATTTGTCTTCGTTCGGAATAGAATATTGAAAATTCAAATATGATATTTATCAATAAAAACTTCAAATCATTGAAAAAACATTGAATGCGACTAGACGAAGCTCTGACCTAGAGCGGTGAACTAACAAAAAATACATATTTGCTAAAGAAGCCCTCCTCCTGCGTCTAGATGGAAGACTGTTTCGACTAGAGAAGAAAGTGGAGTGATGATTCATCACTGACTCTCGTGACATGGGGAGAGCAGTAATCTTTTCTCCTTCGAATTAGGTCTGAATATGTAAAACAAAGGCGTGTTATTCACATCAACTTCATGATTTGTATTAATTTCATTGCGTTTATTAGAATCATCAATTGAATTAGCTAAAATATGTCACTCCATTCAATTGACTACTGATTCTTGGACTTTACGAATTTCGAAGCTCAACTTCTATTCACATAAAAGTTTCAAACTCACTTTTCAATTTTAAGACATAACAAATTAATTCTCAAGCATAATTGTGGAGAAAATACGACCGCAGATACAAACTCATGCTTGAACATTTTTCCTCAAAGTATACCCATTAGTTTTGACATAATACACTTATTAAATATTTCTATAACTTTGCGTTGATTGGCATAAATCTCGGTAATGACTTCATGTGAGAAATATTTAAATTGTCGACTTAATAGGCCAACATAAATCCGATATTATATTGAATATTAAAAATGCAGCTGTCACACTAAATATGCAAATGAACTCACTGTTACTGAGGTAGCCAGTTCATATTTTACAGACACAATAATCGATTTATTTCTTCACTTGCTATTAAGCAGCTACGACTTTCTCCTTTAAAATATTATTTCTTATTAAGTGATATGAAATGAACATTGATTCTGACATAATTATTTATTTTCCATGTTATTGTTTTCCAACATTTGAAATTTGAACACTGTTAAAATAATTATCTTCGTCATGTGAAATATAATCATATTCATAAAGTATTCAGGGAAAATTTGTAGACAGATTTGAATGAAAATTTCATTGAAGATACAAGATGAGCATCAAATACGGTGTTGCATTTTTCTGTGATACTCAGACCCCACCGATAAGAATAAAATGACAACACTGTTCTTTTACTGCGCCTTTTGTTTGAGTGGATTGTAAAACGTATAATTCCTAGAATTGCAGTATTTAATGAATGTTTGGAATTCTAATTTCAATCTAGTAGATTTTGTACCCCGTATTTATTTTGAATAACAATCTGTTTGCCTCTAAGTCTCAAAGTAATCTAATTTCAATGTGATTCTTCAGATCATGTTTGTCTGGAGTGTGTTTCACAGGGAATAGATTTCGTTGCCGTAGATACTCCAATATTTTCATTAAAGTATTGAGATATTTTCTTGAGGGTTTTCTTGTCAGTAAACATTCACTAAAAATCGATATTCGTAGCAATACCTGACTAATTTCTTTCATTCGTTCCTTTGATTAAATGTAAGGATTTTCATTATTTCAGCTATTTCACACTACCTGGTGTAGAGAAAATCATTGAAATCTTATTGCTATTAAAAGGAAAAAAAATTGATAATATACAACAGTCGGAAAAATGTATATATTCATATTGAAGAACGAAACCATAACCAATAAATTGAAAATAACATACTTGTCTTAAGTTTAACTGAATATATCAAAAACTCTCCATATGTTTCGGGCGGTTAACCCATTATCAAGAGTATACATTTGCAATGTGAGTAACATTGTATACTCTCGATAATGGGTTAACCACCATATGTGGAGTTTTCAATATATTTAGTGAAACTTAAGCCAAGTGTGTTAATTTTAATTTATTGTTTTTAACATAATTTTTCGCCAAGAAATAATCGAATCCTGCGTGTCATTTAGTAGCCATAACCGTTGAAAAATACTTCTTTCATTTCCATTTAAATCGAATGGCAATTTCGAATGTAGTGCTTCATTTCACATCTTCATTTTTCCAAACATGTTCTAAAAATTATTTCAACCGGACTATATTTATCAGAATATAATTTTACTTATATTCATAAAAATATATTTCACTGTTTCTCTAAATTTCCAATGATTGATGAAGTTTTATTTCGAAAAACTGTAAAGAATATTTCCATTGAATTCAAGTAAATTTGTGGTTACTAAGGTTACTAAGAGATAAACATTGCATTGAGGGTAGACCAGTCTGGCATCAAATACGGTGTTGCATTTTCCTCTAATATCAACAAGTCTACAATAGGAATAAAATGACAACACAGCTCTTTTCGATGGAATTTTTTGTTTCTCTCGGTCGTAAAAATTAGAATTCCTGGAATTGCGTGCATTGAAATGATAGGACTCGCTGGTTTCCGTGGCTAAGTCGGGAGAACGCCCGACTACGTTTCGGTATAACCCGGGTTCGAGCCCCGATGAAGGCATGGGTGTTTTTGTTTTTCTGTGATTTAAGTAGTTTAAATAGTGATATGAAGTGGGTTATGTACATTGATTAAAAGCCCAATTTCCGTTCGGAACCGGCGTTAAACTGTAGTCCACTGAATAAAGATTTTAAAAAATGATAGGACTCATACTTCAACGCTTATTCGAGATACTGCCTGCCAGATTATTCAGAATATGAATCTGTTTAATTCTTTAGTCTTGAAGTAATGTGTGATTTATTGAGCGTAGTTTTTTTAAATCCAATAAAACACTCAATTTGCATCATATATTCAAAAGTTTTATAGCAATTGATAACTTGGTCTTTATCATTTACATTTCAAAGATAACTTCATGTAAATGTTGTCCGCGGCTCCGTATCAAATGGTCCATTCGGAAGATCCAATTTTGCGTCACTTTATCGAGCATTTCGGCCTGTATCCCACAAATTACGCGTGTTATGTTATCCTGTAAGGCTTCAATAGTGTTCGGCTTGTCCACATACACTAACGACTTTACATAACCTCACAAGAAATAATCCAGAGGCGTCAAATCGCATGATCTTGGCGGCCAATTCACAGGGTCATTTCGAGGGATAAGCTGCTCACCAAATTCATCCTTCAACATGTCCATTGTTTCACGAGCTGTGTGGCATGAGGCACCATCTTGATGAAACTACATGTCAACCAAGTTCAACTCGGCCAAGTGGGGCAAAAAAATTGCTTATCATGGCTCGATATCGTTCGCCGTTGACGGTAAGGTTTTTCCACGGTCGTCTTTGAAGAAAAATGGACTGATGATGTCACCAGCCCATAAACCTTAATTTTCATTAAGCTGTTCTAAGACCCATTCACCAAAAATTAGACTTTGTGAAATTATCCAGGTGGTTGAGGAACACATGCCCAATTGCTGAGAACGACGACGAAGTGACATTTTTCACATTGGTGCGCAAATTCTCTTTGCACTGTGATAACAGCACAAAGTAAACTTGTTGCGAATTGTTGATTCACCAGGTCGATTATGACGACCATAATATGGTCGTAACAAACGATACACATTTTCCATATAGCACAAATTTCGATAGAAAATTTCAACAAATTGCAATCATTGCTCGTTTGTAGGTCTTTTCATGATGAAATGACAGAGTATACTGAAAACTTTTCACTTTGACAGATGATGTTTGGATGCCATTACCAACCAGTGCCGCCAACCTGAAAAACTTAACTGCTTTAGATTAGGGTTGCCTAGAGGCAGAAAATCTTCACTAAAGTATATATATCTTCTTTACAGTCTTCTGTTCTGTCAATATGTTCACTAAAAGTAGTCCTTCTTTTCAATATTAAACAATAAAAGTTGAAAAATGTATTTCTCATAATGAATTTTTATGCTTTCTATTGAATTTTCTTTTCAAATCTTAAAGTTATTTCTTATTTCACAACCTTTGCATCTTAATTTTGAATTCAACTTGTACCCCACTCAAATTTTACAGTTTCATTTTCACCAACTCAGTGCTTACATTGTAAAATCACCAAATCATGAACGAAAAAATTATTGACATCAAGAAATAAACCTACATTGAGTGAATTAATATCTTTTTGTAGATTTTGGTCATCTGTTTTGAATTATACTTTTAGTCCTCAAAGATCGAAATGTCAATGACAATACTCTTCATTGTACCGAATATCTTACAATAATTGCATTTTAATTCAATAGATTTATTGCATTCAAATTAAACTAACCTATGACGTTTCTTTGACAGTTCATAGATAACAAAACAAAAATCCATAGATAACAAAACTAAAGAAAACATAAAATAACATAGTTTTAATCAATGTTTTTTTTTCATCAAAGTTGAAAACTAATTGAAACTAATTATGACGTTTCTTTGACAGTTCAAATCCATAGAACATACAAATCATAACCTTTGTATGTTAGTTTGCTTGTATATACTAGTATAAATTTTCTGTGTCATCAAATATCAGAAAGACGACTAGATTCCTTTCTCGAGACATTTACGTAATGTACACTTGAAGTTTTCATAATAAATATTCGCAAATATACGAAGATTGCCTGGCCAACTTTTCAGATCGCAGAAGAGCCCCTCAAGCTCAGGGGTTTGTTAGTTAAGCCTCACTAATTTCGGTATGACGTCAGACCTCATTACGTATGCTAACGTAAAGTAGTCATTAAGGTATTGATTGGAGTTTTTTCTGCCTCGGCATATAAGGGGGGACTAGGACGCTTGCGCTAAGCCCATCACGAATGCAGGAATTAATGGTTTTTCAATTCGGATCACACTTTTCGAAATAATTCAGCTAACATCGATTTCTTTCACTGATGTTTTCAATATCTTCAAGAATTTTCGCATCGAATGCTCGGTAGCATTGTAATCTGCATATCCAGAAACATTCCTTTTATAATGAGAATATTTTTTGTAATGCACTTTGGCTGCACACTATTATTATTAGTTGAATTTCAAACTAGAAAATTTCATTTGTTATACGAGACAAGAATTAATCGAAAAATAAACCTGAAAATTTGCATCTGTCTTTGCGATAGGCCATTTAATATTTCATTTCATTTATTTCATTCAACATTTACTGATTTGAAAATTGAATCTTAATAACAAAACAGGAAGACTGCTACTCAAGATAAGCTATCTACTAAAAACAATATAAAAAGTGAAGATGTTTCTGAGGCAAATTACAAGGGTTACAGAATAAAAACATAGAAAATATATATACATAAAAAAAAACTTACACTATCATTGAATCAACAATTGCAGATCTTGGTTTTGATAAACTTTCCATAATATCAGAAGCAGAACAGTTAATTATATTCAGCTTAGTCCACAAAATATTGCACTGTTCACCCATTGTGTGCAATGGAAAGAATTTCACGACATTAGTTTTAGCTGATATAAGGTAGAACGTGAATCCGCTTTTGGAAGAGACTCTATGTACAATAAACTCAACTTATGTAATAACTCCTTACGTCTCTCTCAATTGTTAATTACTTCATGCATGAAAACTATTGCATAGCTATTCCTTCACGCACTGAGGGTGTCTGCATTATATCGGCTTGTAGTAGTTTATGTTGGCTACCTACAGGTACATATACCTATTCCATCTATTCTAAAGCTTAATAGTTACAAGAACTTCGTTGAATAGACTTCAGCCTATAAAATGTAACTGATTACGGGAATTCCAAATTGTTGACTTGTTCTTATTCAAGAGTAGATCTTACGAAAGCAAAATACAATGTTCTCAGAATTGATATATATTCACAAATTCTTTACCAATAATGAAAAATAACACCATATAATCTAGAGGTAGCAGTAACTGTACCATTAACTTATGGTAGAGAAGGTGGTTGAGGATCAAAACTTACCACAAGGTCAACAGGAGTTTCAGGTCTTGTTAAAATATTATCAATAATTTCTTTGATGAAATTTACTGAATTATATTTTGTGGAAGACGATATAACGTGAGTTTTGTAGATGTTAGATTGTAGATTCCATAATAACATTACACAACTTTCTAACAATTCGTTCACAAACACAAATGCCAGAACTACGAGTATAGTTTGAATCTTGAAGTGATCAGCAAACAATAATATGCAATGAATCTCTTCCTGAAGATAAAGATTCGGGCAGTTTTGAAACTTATTAAAATTGTGCTCACAATGTTTCTTAATTTCAAAAATTGTTTATAAAGAATTGTATTATATTTCAATCAGGTATAGAAAAAATCATAAAATATTTAAATTTCTTTGTAATAAATACGATGTATCGTGAACCAAAACCACTTGCCTCAATTCCACAAAAATCTTTCATACATTGCGGGTAGGATATTTCGAGTTAATGAATAACCCCACTTAACCTGATCCAACCTAACCTAACCTAACGTTACCTAACCTAGCCAAGCCAAACCAACCCTAACCTATTCTCAAGAATTTTTTACAATTAGTTTGTAAACGTAAAAATCAATCTTCAAAATTTCAACTCATTTTAGAGTTATTCATTCAATTTAGAAGCTTTAAGTTCTATGACTTAAATTCTATGGTTGATGACAGAGTCCCGAATTTCGTGGTTAAATTATTCTTCTTTGTATCACTTAAGTAACAATATGGGAGTTAACCACAGAATTGGAATTAATGTGAATACATAACCACTTTTTTATTGTAATGAGTGTTCTAGAAAACGTCAGTGTTTTGTCCACAAATATAATTCGTGTAATATTGTTAGTTTTCTGTCAGGTTACTTTGGGTTTTTGACACCGAATTGCCCATGGTTAATTACATCAGCCTATTAGAAATATCAAACAACTCGTACTAGGAAAAACAATGGGTACAATTTACGTTTAGCTGTTTGTCTCTTATTGTCGTCAAGAAATATTCCTGACTAAATGTTTTTTACAATGTAATTAAATAAGTATACGTTTGTATGCTCTACTGGCAAGGAACTTTGTGAATAGAGCGCCTGCTATTATGTGAAATTAATTGTCATTAAATGGCAAAATACTGTAATTCGTTGTTCCTTTTATAATAACCATTTTCCTCTTCAAATTATATATTTATCTTTCTGAAAGTCTAACATATCGCTGAGCAAAATACACAAAGAGAAAACCTTAAGTATTCTACAGGAAAATAGTACTTGCTTGATTTCAATGACCTTATAAATAAATTTATATATATATATATATATATATATATATATATATATATATATATATATATATATATATATATATATATATATATATATATATTCAAAATTGGTTTCATTGATTGTTTGTGATAGTTATATTTATAATATTTTTAGCAATAACAGGTTATTTTCGATGTAAAAAGATTTATTTTTGATGTCATTTCGTTGTATATTATATCTTTGTCGGAACTGTTCTTTCAGTTTTGTTGAGCAGAAAATTGGAAGCGAAAAACAGCTATATTCAGGCATTATGCTAGATGAAAAATTGAATTTTAATGATCTTGTTGATTTCATCTG